TTAAAGACATATTAACATTAAAACAGCATAATTGTATATAAGATTTTGTTTTTTCCGTATATTTTTCTTCATACTGTCGGATCTATATCCATATATTTGCTTACATATATATATATATATATATATATATATATATATATACTGTTTACAGTGTTCAAACTGTTGTCTACATCTTTGTTGTCATATTCATGATGTTTCAGTTGTTGTACGCTCCAGCTTTCTTCAGATGATTGGAATTTCGAACCAAACCCTAAATACATCTGTTTTATGCTTTTGCACACATCATCAGTGAAGTTTTTAGCTGAGAATTATTAGGGGTTTCTGGTCATTCAGCATCATATCCCCTCTTCCTGGTGACCCAGTCAATATTGATTTGATATCAACTTGTGTCCCATTCAACTCATCTCATAATGTATGAACACGCTGTGACTCTTCTGGCATTTTATAGTCCAATAGCAAACAGTTTTCAGTTCACCAGCTTCTAAGCTCTTCCATAAAAAAAGGAAGCAAGCATCGTAATGGTTTCTTAAAAATATGGCAACATTTTTAGTTTTGAACTGGTAAGTAATGATCCATAAAGTAATGATCTTAACTTACACTTGCTGAGATATACACACACACACACGAATATAAAACTGATTCAACCCAATGATAATTCGTCTTATACTGTTTTCATTCATGTGAACCATTCCATTAAAACTGCAAAAAAAAATGTAACCCTGGTGATGAAAAAAACAAGTGCTAAATAGGTAACAATGGTTCGGGGTACCCTAATTCTGTCCCATAGTTGAGACTCCATTGTCTGATGTAGTTTTAGATTATACCCATCACCCATTTCCAAGTCCCTAATATCTCTCTCTCTCTCTCTCTATATATATATATATATATATATATATATATAGAGAGAGAGAGAGAGAGATAATGCACCCTCATATCATGAACAATAATGGAGGATCAGCAGTGGATGGTGCTTTAGGTTTCATGCCAAAGTAGTGCTGGAATTATAATATTTAAGTAAAAATAAAAATAAATGTTATCATTCCAGCACTTGAAAATTATTTGGCATTTAACCTGGAGTTGTGCAATTAATGTAAGATATTATGCATATTTATATATATATATATATATATATATATATATATATATTAGAGCTCTGTTACTTTATTTACATTGAGTACTGTTTTTTTTACAGTGTAGAGTATTTATATTTATATGATCACTCACTTGTATACGTACATATATTTGCCCATTCGGTTATATATATATATATATATATATATATATATATGCGTGAGTGTGTGTGTGTGTGTGTGTGTGTGTGCCTAATTCTCATATGTCTGCATGCACACATATGAGAGTGTGCTGATAAGTTCTCAGCAAAACCAACTCTGAAAACAACTGTATGACCAGAAATATATAAATAGATGTGTGCCAATTTCAAGTACTTTATTTTGATGTGTTGAAGACTATCATGTTATACTCTGCTTCCAAGTAGATCACTTTAATTTCTGATTCACTCCACATCAAAAGCCAAAGCAAATGCATAACAAATAATGATGAGTCCTGACTGCCTAAAAGAACCTGCTTGGCAACATTCAAGGCAGTTGACAGAATTCACCAATGGCCTGAAAGTCAACTGACCCAACCTTCAACTCTAGACCTGTACAGGTTGCCTCCCTTGCCTACAGAAGATATTCTTTCCTGATTCATTATACTGGCAAGATAGATAATTTTATTTTAACATATCTTGTCTCCTTTTCATTCCACTCCATTTGTTATTCTTGTAACCATACACAGTATATAACATAGAAGTGTAAGAAGAAAGATTTGATAATTCTGAAATTTTATATGTTCAGAAGACAAGTTCAGAGTATTTTCAAAATAGCATGACTTTTTCAGTGGTTACATTCAGTTAGCATTGGCTCAAGGAGGTAAAAATCACTAACTGCCAATATGATCTTGAAAAACAAAGACTTCTTGATACAACAAGTATCTGGAGGTTTCCTGTCAAGTATGAACCAACAGAAGGGCTACTGAAGTACAAATTGCATATAGCCTTAATAATGTTCAAGGAAGGAATGCAACACAGCAGATAAATCTCACACACCTTCATTTTGTTACATATTGTCAAGGTTTTTCCCTTTCATGGCTTCTCTAGGTTTTCCAGTCAATGGTCAGAATATGTTAGTGGACAACTCTCAAAATATCATTTCTTTGCACCAATCTTCATAATACTCAAGTTTAAGAAATGGTGGGAGGCAGGAAAGTCATGGAAGGCTTCCTGATAAATGAGGCTTTGATTATCGGTTTTAATTTCAGCTCTGTACATAATCAACAGTTTTCTGATAGAATCTACTTTGTTCTCTTAGAGACAACTCATCAGATTATTCACATCAAAACTCAAATCATGTTTTGTTTGTGTTGCCAGCCAATTTACTTTCCTGATTAGCTGTCTAACATAAGTAACTTCTTTGTCACTAAGAATCTCTTTGCTGTTTCTATTGTTTTTTATGTTCAGTCTGCTTGAAACCTTTAATATATTCATTTTGACTCACAATTAGTTTATGACTGATTTATGCTACATTCAAACCAACCTAACAAACCTCTGTGATCTTTTAGATTTGACAACAAATTTAGTCTTGAGTTAGTCAATTGCAGTCATCTGAGACACCTTTGTTTCTCTCAGTAGTTTCTAAAGTCTACCAGCAGTTACTCTGGTAATACCAAATGAATCACACTTTTAATCAACATGCCTTGCAAGAAAGTAGTCATGATATCCATGGTATAACAGGAATAATGATCAGATACTATAATAACAAGAGTTACCATGAATCCCTCTTGAAAACAAGTTGGTGACTGTCCTGACAATACTGGCATATTCATCCTGAAATCCTCTTGCAACCAATGTTGCCTTCTTTTCTATTTCTCCTTCAACTTCTTTGTCTATGATAATCCATCCTGTCAAAATTCTAGGCTGTTCTGAATCAAATGTTTTTATCCAACTGTCTAGTTTGCAAGAACTGCTGTCTAGTTTGCAATTTCACATAATGAATTCAATGAATCCTTATCTTTTTGCTCCTCTTTGTCTTTTCAGTACATTTTTGTTCTACATGTTTTTCTCTTTCCTCCTCCACATATGGCTTTCATTTAAGCTTTTGTTAATGCCATGTTACTTCAGGATGTATGCAATCATGTCCCTACAGAATTTTCTTTGTTATCTGTGAATTGCCATACATTCTTGAAAAAGATAGTGGAGTAGTTTTCTGTTGACTTATCTACAGTTTTGAATTCAGAGTTTTCCTTCTCTTAGACTGGTTGCCACTGAAGTCTAGAGAGCCCTGTCTGCTCTATTATGTACCATTTAGCTGCTGGTGGCTGTGGAGGTAAAAAAATGAATTCATACCTTTCTCAAGAGCATTTGTGTGAAAGAATGTGTTGATTCTACTTTCTGTCTGAACATTCAGTTAATTGCATGATTAATAAAATCCAAGCATGATGGGTCACCTTCATTAAGAGTAATTTCTCTCTGTGGCCTTACCAGATTAAGTAATTACTTATTCCTTTATCCAGGCTTAGATAAATTGTTTTAACCTAATCAGTTCCTATTGGCCATCCATTCTATATGTAATAACACCAGTGTTCTTACCAGATTATTTGGCATCAACTCATTTTCTGTTGTGGGATCCTCAACTATGTTGTATATGACATCATTATGTAACACATATTTTTTTAAAATAACCACCTGATCATGCTGAAAATGGAGTATAATACTGCCATATATGGGCAGGAGCTGTCAAGTGTCCACTTTCTAGTCTTGACCGAGTCCCAAACCATCTTCACAACCTTGCGGGTGATGAATTATTTTCCACCCTACAACTCTTTTTGCACAGATGAAACACTTCCAGCCCCTTGCTACTCTGTTGCTATTTCCATGGAAATTGCTCAGACAAACTACATTCTTTAGTTCCACCATTTCACAGTGTTGTGAAACATTCCCTTCATACTCCATTGATGAGATGTAAGTTCCACTTTAAAAGCTTCTTCCCACAAACTGCTACTTTGTGTAACTGACTCCCAAGAGTATACTGTCCCAATCACTACAGTCTTATTTAAACATTATCTTCCCCATAAACTGCACAACTTACCTCTTACTCTGTAACCCTCTAACTTGAGTGACTCTTACACTTTGTACAGAGCAAACTTTATTGCAAAAAAAAAAAAAGACTCAGTATTTTTAACAATGCCAAATTCACTAACAAATGTGTTGATTGTTTGGTCTAGAATGATGAGTGCATCCAACAGCAGGGATGTATGCTAACTTATGTTCCAGGTTTCATCTTTCATCAAGGACTGATTCCTAGACCCATTCACTTTCCTGATTCATTCTGTGTTATTAAATACATGCAATATTTTCACCATTAGTGTACTTCTGTGAAAATATTAGATATATTTAATAGCACAGAACTTTTCTTACATGAAGCATAATAAATGATCTAGCTGCATATATTATATTCAAATAACTGGCAACTCGTTCACTTACAGAAATCCCAGTTGGCAGTTTGCTATTCAGAACTGTAGAAATATTTGAATTCCTACCAAACACAAATTGGTTTGGACTCTAAGTATTAACACTGTGTAATACATTGTACTTATGGCCAAAGTGCAATATCAAAATCACACTGAACATCAGCCATGGTTTTTGTCACCAGACTAGCATTATTGCACTCACATAATCTATCAGTCGAAAGTGAATAAACTATTGTCATTCTGACATCCATATTCAGATTTTGAGCAATATCTCTAAACTATTGGTTCTTGAATTATTGTCCTTTTTTCAGCCCCAAAATAAACTGTATCCCAAAATAAAAATTCTGATGTTCAAAACTGCATTTAACAAAGGAAGAGCTCTTCTTAGTAGGAATATTAATGGCAGCATGATATCTGCTGCTATGATCCACCATATGGAACTTTTTATGACCTTGGCTTATGTCAACATCATATTGAAACACCAGTTCCTGTATGATTACCAAAGTTAAGCAACATTGAACCTGGTCAGTACCTAGATGGGTGAGTGCTTGGGAATACCAAGTGCTGTAATCTTCCATGTGTGGGTATTGTAATAGATAATGACTCTGAATTGTTAATAAGAGAGCTAATTTCAATTCCAGTTGGGTTCATTATTTACACTTATGTACAAATACCCTTAGGAAAGTTATGAACTCACCTTTTCTCTCTCCTTCTATGGGTTAAATAGTAAGACTTGTATCAGTAAACATTATCTCAAAAAAAAAAACTTTGGATAAAATATTTAGGTCCCAGTATTAAATAACCTATATAGGTTGATATGTTACTAACAACCCACTAACCAAATCTTTATGACCTTGTACATCCTTTATATCATGTTTAAATTGCTCAATGTACGGTCCCCAAAGAGAGCCCAATGGCATGTCTTGGATAATCCTTTTTTCTATTTCAGGCAAATATTGTATATAGGTGAGAACTCCTCTAGAATATGAAGGAACTCATTATCTGTTAAAACAGCATCTATTGCCAAAGATGCCATTTTACTGCCATCTGGATGGCTCAATTGTTTATGTAACTTTCCAGTAATTTGTACCTTCTGCATTTATTCTATATTTGCTACAATGCTGTTACCAACTGCAGGTAATAGAGATATGTCATAGTGACCTGATTCAGTTGTAATCAGCTTGATATTTTTACCAAGAAGAGAAACTTTCTCCTCAAAATTTAGATGTGTTCTTGCATTCTTCATTGCATCATGAACAATAGTGAGATATTAAACTCAATAACTCCTGTATTGATGTCAACTCTTAATCCTTCAATAATACGAGGAAGCTCAACTAGTTTCAGATAGAATATTCTTTTTCCAATTCCAAATTAAAACATTAAAACCTGGTTTCACTTGCATGTTTTCTATCAATAATGCAAACAGAGTTTCCAGGAAATAATTACACTGCTTAACACCAGCAACTGTTCCTATTATTTCTGAATCCAATACAATTATTCCAATTATCTCATCTAGTAATGAGTGTTCAATTTCTACCAGAACAAATAAAATCTTCACAGAACATATAATACAATAGTTGCTTCTTGAAACAGATTGTTTTGTAAATTGTTATCTTAATCTCTGGTCCATTGGTAAATAAATCACAACGAAAGCATTGTGAATGTTTACCATTTGCTCTGGGATTATTTACTCTCTATCTGAACTCTTAGCTACTAATATAGAAGAATCTGGAATACCCTCTCCTGCCACTTTGCTATCACATAAGAGCCAACAGGATGATGTTTTAAAAACTAATTGCCACAATAGGTTTCTTCATGATCAATCAAAGAGCCCTTGGCATCATCATCTATATTCCTGCTTTCAGAATAGGAAACACGGATGTTTTATTTAATCAGCTGTTTCAAGGTAGGGTATACCAAGAATTTCTCTCTCTCTCTCTCTCTCTCTCTCTCTCTCACACACGCACACACACACACATGATAAAAATATAGTTTTAAGATATGCTATAAAAGTGATATAAAGGGCTAAAAAGATATGCTAAAAAGGGATAGTGCATGTGGAAATATAAAATTGAACACTGAGGTCAACAACAAGTGACAACAGTCTATTTCATGCTTGAATACACTTCAGGCCATGAAGATTGCTTAAAACCTGAAACAGAATGTCGCTACTCAGTGTTGACCTTAGTGTCCACACACGCATATATATATATATATATATATATATATATATATATATATACATACATGCATACACACACAACTCCAGTTGATAAAAAAGAACTATAAAAAATTTAAAACTGCTAACCTCATTTTCAACAATAATAACTCACATGCAAAATTCAAATCACAGAGAACTAATATTATTTATGAATTCACATGTCCATTAATGAACTGTGTTCCTGATCAATTCAATTTCATGGATTATTTTATTTGACATAGCACTACATGGTTATCAAGAAAACTCATGTTACACCTCTCTGACTATAGCTCAATTAGGTCTCATTTAAATTCACACGGAGACCTACCAAAATGTATCCGGAACATAGTCATTGATAATACAAATATAATAGCCTCATACACATGTAAAAAGCTTTGTTTATATTGATATGACTATATACATGCTGGGAATTATACATTGTAAAATAAATAATTTCTTTTATATGTGTTTTGTGTATAGCCAGTTTCATTTAGATTCTTTTTCTTTTTGTTTCCATTGTCTTTGTTATCAAATATCCCACATTGTGATAACAGAATATTTGCCAAGAATGGTGAAACATTGAATCTGGATGTAAATTTACTGTGGCTGAATTAGTTATTAAAGTACTTTCTAAACATTTTTTCTCTTAGTGAATTGTTTTCTCTTTCAATTAGAGTAGCATTTTTTATGTTGAAATTATGATTAGTCTTGTTGAGCAAAAATGTTTTTAATATGTGTTGTTTTTTAAAATGTCCCTTTTGTGTTCATATAATTTATTTAAACCTCTTGAGGTTTTTCCAATATATTCTTTCTAATCTGATGAAATCCTAAAGGATAAAGCATATCACATTAAAACTTTTCCCCACTTTTTTTTATTTATATATATATATATATATATATATATATATATATATATATATATATATATGTATGTATGTATATATGCTCCATGTATTTACACAACAGTATATTTCTTTGCAGGCTTACAACCAATAAAAGTTACAGATTTCATGCAGCAGTGATCATTATGTTTTGCATGTATCACTCACATTCCAAAGACTCTTGCAATAAACCAAAATGTATCTTCACAAACACTCTGTAGGGGCTGATAATCTATTGTAAGAGAAGCAAAAAAATAAAAAAAATAATGTTCTTGTTTTATTTTTTTTTTGTGCTAAAATATTTTCACAATCCATGGATGTCAAATGTTATTTGTTTGGAACCTTGAAAAAAATGTCAACTTAAACTTTACCTGAAGACATTTTTGAAGAATATTTGAGTTGTGAGAAAAAGAAATGTAGTAAGTTTTAAACAAAGTTAGAATTTGTGGAGTTTTTCACTCTCTTTTATCCGTAACTGTGATTTATGTTCCATAGGATTTCTGCAAAATTATTTATACACTCTTTGAATTTAATCACATAATCATCTGAACAGAACTCAGAAACCATAAAACTAAAATTTATTTTCATGGTTACCAAAACAACATTCATAAAATAAATTATAAACTGAAATATTAAAATATTATTGTGATTACAGATTAAATTATTATTTGAAATATAATAACATTAAGAAGAACATTTTAATCTAGACCATGTCAGGTTTTATGCAAACCAATGGTTGCAGAATAAAAATGATATTAACTGATGGTTCTTGATAAAATTTTCTTATATTATATGAGTAAATTTCAACTTACATATTCCAATTAAATATATTGATAACCACTTGATTTGGGAGTATGTGTTATTATGCATAATGTAGTATTAATCATTACTTATCAATAAACTCAAAAGACTCAAATCATGGAAACATTTTGATTAATACAATATTCAATATAACTGAATAAATTAATATTCTATTATATGACATATTAAATTACCTTCCTTGACATTCTATAACCTTCATCAGATTCTTCAAATGTTTTCTTGCTGGTCAATCCATGTTTCTTGCTTATTAACATTTTAATTTCTCTCAAATCTTTTTGTGACATTCTTAAAGTCTGTTTTTCATGTTGTTTCAAACAATTTAAATATGTTTTTGGATTGATCACTTTTCAACTTTTTCCATATTGCATTCCCAACTTGTTTTTCCTTCGAGGTTGCATCTTTGTTTTTTCTGATGGTAATCATTTCATATCTGAAATTAAAAAAAATTAATATCAATAACTATAGTATACAGAGTGGAAAATAATTGTTCAATATACTGTAAAAGACCCATTTTATTGCCTTATTTACTTAGATGTCTAGTAAATATTTATCTTAAAATGGCAATACATGTACATTTTTCAAGATTAAATATGGACAAAAGTCTCAACAAATATATAAAATTGTAAAAGCTATATTTAACTTTTGGCCATATCACATTGAAACAATGATTCTTGCAAAATCACCAAAGTTAAGTAACATTGAATCTGGTTAGTACCTGTATGGGTGATTGCTTGGGAATACCAGGTGCTGTAAAGTTCGATTTGTGTGGGTGTAATGGATAATAGCTTATAATTGGAAGTCAGGTTCATTATATTCACTTATGTGCAAATACTCTTGAGGAAAGTTATGAATCCACCTCTTCTCCCACCTATCTATGGGTTAATTAGTAGAGCTTATATCTGTAAATCATGATTATCTCCAACAGTTCTTAAGATCTAAAAATATATTCTGGCTTTAAATAACCTGCAAAAGGTTGATAAACCATAAAAAACAGATTAATCAAATATAAGCTATATTTAAAAAAAATAAAAAATGTATTTAATATCTGACATAAAGCTGTAAGAAACAAAGCCAAATACTTTGTGAAATCACATTGTCTTGCAACAACTGCTGCCATTAGCTTGTTGTAAGTAACCATAAGGTTTGAAATTTCTTCTGTTAGTATTTTGTGTCACTTGCCATGATAATTTTTTTCATTTTTTTTGGTTGATGAACATGGGCACAAATCTTTTCTTACTGAGATACTTCAATAGGTTGATTTTCAAACCACTGATAATTTACACTGGTGGTATGTTTTGGATGGCTACCCTTCTGAAACACTCAGTTGCATTTCATTAACTTTTAGCATTCTGCATTATTAATATTAATTCCCATTCCCTTGCATTCTTTTTCAAATCCTCTCATTTACAGTAACCTTATTATTAATTTCACTCAAAGTTGTTTTCTTTTGCCATAGCAAGATATGACAACGCTTCTATGATATTCAAATTCAGAAATCAGTCACTTTCAGTAGGTGGATAGACTTTTTGTAAAGCAAATTATGTCATATAGAGCATGATAAAGGTTAAATCCTTGACTAATATAAGGAGATCCTTGCTCATTACATGGCTCCATTCATTTTTCCTTCAATTATGTGAAGTTGTCCATGCTTAGGTGATCATGTATCTT